ACTGATAAAGGATAGAAAATCTGAATCATTCTATTTTATTCTTAAAAAAAAAAAAAAAACTCTCCCAAAAAGAAAACTATAGGCCCAGATGGTTTCACCAGTCTGTCAAATATTTAGGGAAGAAATTATACAAATTCTACACAAATTCTTTCAGAAGAACCATATTCCAACTGATTATATAAGACTAGCTTTTTGAAACCAGATTTAAATATTATTAAAAAAATTACTATAGAGTAATATCCCTCATGAGCAGACATAAAAATACTTAACTAAATATTAATAAACATAAACCAGAAATGTATAAAGGGATACATCGTGACAAATTGGGGTTTATGCCAGGACTGTGAATTTGCTTAACATTTGAATATCAGTCACTATAATTCACCATATTAGCCAAATAAAGAAATAAATTATGTTTATCTAAATAGATACACAAAATTGCCCAAATTTAATATGCTTTTGTTACAAAAACTCTTAACAAAAGAAGGGAGCTTCCTGAAACTTCATAATAACCATGTTTGAAACCTGTAGGCATCATGTTAATGGTCAATGAATGACTGCTTTTCCCTCTGATTGGAAACTAGGCCAAAATGTCTACTCTTACCACTGCTATTCAATTTTATATTGAAGTCATAGCCAGTGCAATATGGCAAGAAAAAATGTAAAAGGCACATAGACTAAAAAGGAAGAAGTAACACTGTATTTGAGGATGACATGATCCTATACATAGAATATACTAAGGAACCTACCTATGGGCTACTTGAAGTGATTTTAACAACTTTGCAGAATCCAGTGTATACAACCAAAATTAATAGTATTACTATTAGCATGAAAAATTAAATTTAAAAATACTGTTTATAATAGCAAAACACAAAACAATGAGAGATACATTTTAGGAAGTATGTTGAAGACATATATTGAAATCTACAGAGCACTGCTTAGAATATCAAAGATGTAAGTAAGTGAAGACATGCTATATTAATGGATTGGAAGGCTCAATATTGCTAAAATATCAGTTCCTCCAAAATTTATATATTTCAACCAAACCTCCCTATGACATTATTTTTTAGGGGGTAGAAATTCAGGAGCTACTTACAAAGTATATGGAAATGCAAAGGACCTAGAATAGTCAAGAGTTTCATTTTGCACAACAAAATTGTCAGATTTACACTACCTAACTTTACTTACCTAACTTCCTAACTTTAAGGCTCCTATAAAGCTACAGTAATAAAACTGTGATATTGGCATATATATATCTATATATATCTATATATAGATACATATATGACAATATATATATTGGCATATATATATATATACATATATATATATATATATTTAGAGAATCTAAAAATAGACCTACATATGATCAACTTCTGAAAAAAGTGACAAGGTAATCAGATGCAGAAATTATTTCTTTCTGAACAAATGGTGCTAAAATGAATGGATATCTGCTCAGGAAAAAGAAAGTTCTTACCTTAAGTGTATTACTTCATAGCAAACACCAAAATTTATTGAAATAAATCATATATCCAAATGTAGTAGCTAAGATTACAAAATCTCAAGGAAAAAATAGAGAAGGTCATGTTCACGATTTTGAAGTAAGCTAAGATTTCTGAAAAGGGGCGCAAAAAGTATTAAGCATAAATGGAAAATCTTAATCAATTGGACTTAATCACAATTAAACAATTCTGTTCTTTGAAAGCGGTTGTTGGTTTGCAAACCGGCACCCATACGAAGAGGGCAAGGAGTGACAGACGAAAGGCAGAGTAATCCACCATCAGAAGGCAGTCAGTTTAATGAGCAAGGGAACTCACATATGAAGCTTGTCTTGGGCAGCCTTAAGTAGATCTCCACATCCACCTGTCAGAATCTTAAATTTGTATAGAGGCTTCACTAGACTCAGGCATGTATACTGTCCAGATGTTCTCAACAGCAGATTACTCTCTCTAGGCTGTGTCCTTGAGGCAGCTTTAGTGCTGGGAAGGCAGGCAGAATGCACATTGCAAGGACAGGGGAGGAGGTGAGGAGCCTCTGGTTGCGTGGGTCCAGCTCACAGGTCAACTAGCAGTCATGTCCTCTTGATGACCTCCTCCAACATGAGTCAAGAAATTGAAAAGTCAAGCTATGGACTGAGAATAGTAGGCACTGTATTAAGTGTATTAGACAAAGGACTTTTCTCCGGAATATATATTTAAATCTTACAACTTAACAATAATGTGAAAAATAAAATAATTAGGATAAATGAACAAAAGATCTGATCAGACATTTCACAAAAAAAGTAATATAAATGCCAAATAAGCCATCAAAACATTTTCAGCATCATCAGAGAAATGCAAATGACGATGTCATTAAGATACCACTATGCAACCTCTAGAGAAGGTAAAATTAAATGCCATTAGGTGTTGGTACCCATGCAGAGCATCTGGAACTCTCATACATAATTGGGGGAGTTGAAAATGATATAACCGTATTGTACACCGTTTCATACCCACAAGGAAGCCCAATAATATCTCTCTTTGGAATTAAGAAATATAAATATATGTCCTTCTAAATGTATGCAAATATTCATAGCAGCTTTATTTTTAATAGCTAAAAACTGGAACAATCCAAATGTACTTCCGGTGAATGTATAAACAAATTGTGATATATCCATGTAATAATATTCAGCAATGAAAAGGAATGTATTACTGACATAAATAACAACATCGCTATACCTCCAAAATATTGTGCTAAGTGAAGAAAAGAATTATTTATTATGCCATTTCTATGAAATTTGTGATTAGCTAAAATAATCTATAGTGGCAGAAATCAGATCAGACTGATCTGATTTCACTGTCACTGATTTCAGTGGCAGAAATCAGACTATCTGTTCTAGGTGTGGAGGTTAGAGAAATTACTGTGAGAGGAAGGAAACTGGGGCAGTGATGGACTATATGTTAATTGGGGTAATTGTCAAATGAGAGTTTAAATTTTTTAAACATATAGCATGGGTGCATTTATTTTGTGTAAATTGTACTCAATTAGGTTTCTTTTTTTTAAATTTTTTTAATGTTTATTTATTTCTGAGACAGAGACAGATCATGAGTGGGGGAGGGGCAGAGAGAGAGGGAGTCACAGAATCCGAAGCAGGCTCCAGGGTCTGGGCTGTCAGCACAGAGCCCGACTTGGGGCTCGAACTCACGTTCATGAGATCATGACCTGAGTCAAAGTCGGTCGCTCAACCGACTGAGCCACCCAGGCGCCCCTCAATTAGGTTTATTTCTTAAAAAATTGCTCTGATAACCCTGGTTCTCTATCTTAATTTTGGTTAAATAATTTTGTATTTTTCCCCTGTGTTGAATCACACAAGTAGTTGACAGCAGAGATCATAGTCTTATTCTCAAGGCTTGGGCCAGACTCTATTTTGCAATTCCACAATAAAGAAAAAAAAAAAAACAAAACAAAAACTGTAGAGTTTTTTAGTACTAATAGTAACAGAAAGAAGATGGAAAATATTGAGAGTTATCCATTTACTTGGGCACCATTTGGCCAGATGTTCTCAATCAATCCTGGTAGGAACAACACCTCCTTTATTTGATTGAAAGGAAATCCATAAATAATATCACTTAACTTCAACATAGTATTTAAAAAATCAATATAATGGCTTAAGTATAAAATAAAAAAGGAAAAAAGTAATCTATGTAAAAAAATGTACATTTCATTATGTAAATGCTTGGGTAAAACTACATTTAGTAGTTTGCCTAGATTTAGTAGGCAAAATGAAGGCAAAATAGAAGCCTGAACCTATTCCCAGAGTCACCATCAATGTGACAGATACGTATTGGTATTGTCCTGGGGACACTACCATATCAGTGATGGGATTTTCTGAGATGGTAAACACATCTTGGTGACATTCAGAAACACAAAGTACATGAGTTCCTCACTTCGTGTAGTAGATGCATCCTGGAAGACAAAAACTGTGCAAAACATTTTATGTGCAGCATACTCTTAAATTAGGCATCAAACATAAACCAAGGGTTTTCACCTGCATGAATGCCCAGTGGCCCTTCCAGAAGTCCCTGGTTAGCAGGACTGTCCCACGTGGGATGGGACAAGTGGCACTGTGACCTCAGAGCACACTAATGTCAGCAGTACTCCCAGCCACTGAGTAAGCGGGGAGACATCGTGTGAGTCCCATAAAGACCCAATGAGGAGCTCTCAAACACTGTGAGAGCCTCAGACCATGAAACACAGACAGACAGGAGACCAGGAAGGAGCTGTCATTTGAATCTGGGGGTGGCAGAAAAACTTGCAGAAATTCTGGGTTAAAGAAAAGCAATAGGGACTGGAAGAGATGAAATTTGGAGCCTGAAAGGAAATGGTCCCTAAGGCCTTTATTCAATTTAAATAAATGTCCAGTGACTGAACTGAAAAACCTTACTTTTAGCCTTTATATTGGTCAGAACCGTTGCAGTGGAACAAGGGAGTTTCTTTTTGTCCCACCCCTGTTGCCCTGACAGTTGTCTATTAAGCAATAAGTCCTCTGGCCTGACCTGCTGAGGCCCAGGACCAACTTCACCCCATGGTAACTTCGCAGCCACCCGGGCCAGGGCCATCAGGAGGGTCCTGTGTCCATCGAGCGTTGGGTCACCTGGATACACGGCGCCCACACACAGCTTTGCCAGTCCTTTCTCTGGAGGTACATTGACTCAGCTTCGGCCAAGTTCCCAGCTGTGCAGATTTCCTCCCAATAATGCCTCCCATGTGTAGAGATTTTACAGATCACAAAGCGCTTTCCTATCAATTACCTCCTCTAATTTAAAAGAAGTTCAGCGAACAGCTCAAGCTAAGGAACGGTCCCTCTCCGAGGGAAGGGCGGCTCTGGAAAGGTCTGTTTCACGGAGGACCCTTTAAGGGCCTGTGCCTGGACGGCTGTGGGACGAGGGCCCGGGAAAAGGGGAGGGAGGGGGAGTGTCCTCTTTCTCCCCCCACCCTCTGGCGGCGGCAGAGCCAAAGCCAGGAGGGGGGCTGTCTCCTCCTCTTCCCCAGCAGCTGCTGCTCCTTCAGCTCACCAGCCGGACCCGGGGACTGGGCGGCCGCGACTCCTCGGGCTCCTGAGAAGCGGATCCGCTCCCGGCCACCGCAATGCCCGGAGCCGCCGGGGTCCTCCTGGTCCTGCTGCTCAGCGGGGGCCTCGGGGGCGGCCAGGCCCAGAGGCCACAGCTGCAACAGCGGCCGCGGCAGCCACAGGCACATCAGCAAAGAGGTACAGTCGAGGAACGGGCTCTAGATTCCATCCTTTGCCGGGGCCGCGGCCCCTTCTTCCGACGACAGTCCGGGGCAGGGACCGTTTTCTGGCTTGGCCCCTGGGGAGTGCGCTTTGGGGCGAGAGGAGCTAAGCTTGATGCAAACTCACTTTCAGCGTCCTGAGTACCCTGTCCGGGGGGGTTGGGGGGATTGCCTACCTCCCCCCAAAGAACGTGAAGCGTTTCACATTGTTCATTCGTTCTGAGAGAACTTGCTGTCGCTTATACATAACTCCCAGCTGGGTTCCGAAGTCTTTCAAAGAGGCAAACTTTTAACCAATTGAACAATAAGTTTTTCCAAATCAGAGTCCATCCCTGCAGAGAAATGTTTCCCAAGCTGAGGTTCATTTTGGAACTTTATGGAGGGCAGCTGATACATCAGCTTTCTTTTTTCTTTTTTTCTTTTTCTTTTCTTTTCTTTTCCTTCTTTTTTTCTTTCTTTGTTTCTTTTCTTTCTTTTTTTTAAGGACTTTGTTTCTAACTGTTTGAACAGAGTTTGTAAAGTAGTTAAAGTCAAGTGGTTTTTTTTGTTTCGTGGCAATGGGACTTCCAGCCTCAATTTTTTCTGACCCACGTTCTATCTCAGGTATCCTTTTTATTATAGTGAAATTTCTCCTCTGGCTTAAATACAGATAGGACTTCTATGTCATGTGTATGTGAATTAGGACCACAGTGACCACATATACACTTCAGGGGGGCTTTGGAAAACAGTGGTATTTGATGTAATCCAAATGATTCTCCTCAGAGCGCTGTGATGTTTACATGCATATAATTTCTGATACTCTTGGGAGTCTTTGAAGAGTTATTTTAATGTCATGAATTTTAAAAGAAGCACATGTACCGCGTTTTAAAACAGAATTTATAATGAATACATCATTTCAGCAACATTTTTGTGAGTTGGAAAACTTGTATTAAAGTAAAGAATATTTAAGATTTGATTTCAAATATCAAAATATTTACCGCAAGAGTACAAAATCTGGAGGTTAGCAACTTTGGAAAGTTTTGATGAGACCGAATCTGTCAAAGTTTTGAAATATACTTATTCCCTCTTTTAGTTAACTAGAATAAAGCTACATCTAACCATTCTGATAGTTTTTCTTCTTATAATCTAACATTTCTAGCAGTACTATTTTATCTTAAAAGGAGTAAGAAAATACTCTTGTCTGCTTGCTACAATAATAGCTCCCCGATTAAAATTCCTAGAATAAAAATGACCTTAAGTTCACTATATAACCTTTTTTCTTCTATTTTTGCTTTTCCTTCTCTGCGAGGTAAAATGGGGTCAACATGGCTTAATTAATAGAATTTATGAGAGTGATTTTGAGAGTATATCTCTGGCAGCTGATTTTTAAAAATGCTACTTTAAAATATTAGCCTTGCTTAGTTATATGATATGTTTTAACAATACATAGTACTTTAATAATGTCAAGCAGCTGGGAGTACAGAGAGACCAGAAACACCAGTGCTGTTCATTTGGAGTGGGGCAGAAGCTCAAAGCATGCAAAGTAGTCTCAAAGAAATTTCCTAGTGTGCTGCCCACCCTCCTCATTCTTTCTCCTCCCACCCCTCCCCTCCTTCACCCTCTCCTCCCCTTCTCCTCCTCCCCTTCTCCTCCTCCTCCTTCTCCTCTTCCTCCTCCTTCCTCCTCCTTCCTCCTCCTCCTCCTCTTCTTCTCCTTTCTCCTTTCTCCTCTCCTTCCTCTTTCCCTCCTCTCCTTTTCTCTTTCTGTCTGTCTCTGTTTTATCTGAGATAAAACTGACTCCAATTTCTGTGGTCCAGGAATAAAGTAAGGTCAATGCAAAAGGGAAAGTTTATACTGCCATTCTGTTGAATGCTACACACAATAAGGAATTCTGTGCAAAATAGCTATAAGATGGTGTCTACCTATAGACCACTATTTTCCTTTTTTATTTTAATTTTTTTACTGTTTATTTCTTTTTGGGAGAGGGAGAGAGAGACCCAGAGTGTGAGCAGGAAGGTGCAGAGAGAGAGAGAGAGAGAGACACAGAATCCAAAGCAGGCTCCAAGCTCTGAGCTGTCAGCACAGAGCCCGAGGCAGGGCTCAAACTCACAGACCACTAGATCAAGACCTGAGTGGAAGTCAGCAGCCCAACCAACTGAGCCACCCAGGCGCCCCTAGGCTACTATTTTCTGCATTCTAGAATATATTGTGTATTATAGATCATTTGCAATACATTGAAAGATTGGCTCAGGGATAAATTGTTGGAACTTATTAATATTAAAAGTATATATAAAATCTGTTTTATAATACCTTAAATTCATATAGCATTTCATAATTAAACATGCCGTGTATATATTAACTTATTTCACCTTCAGTTATTCTTATGGACAAATTTAAAACTGAAGGCTTGGAGTAGTTGTGACTTAAATTCATGCAACTGATAGTAACTTAATTTTTAACAACTAAAAACATTTCTAGTATTGTTTATGCTGAAGTTTCCTTTTTGTGATACTAAGATGTCTTTCCATTTATTCTGGGGCCATGTTTTCTTTTTAATGTTCTGTTAAAACATACTCTCAGTGAAGATCATTGGATATGAGTGCAACTGAAGAAGTTTTAGGCTATCATCAACTTCTCCTTTTTGATTATATTAGCATTGACCTTCTTAGCTGAGCACTGACTAGAATGAATTCTGTGGTGCCTGGTTGGCTCAGTCAGTTAAGCATCTGACTTTGGCTCAGGTCATGATCTTGTAATTTGTGGGTTCAAACCCCATGTCATGCTCTATACTGACAACTCAGAACCTGGAGCCTGCTTCACATTCTGTTTCCCTCTTTCTCTCCCTCTCTCAAAAATAAAAAGCAATAAAAAAAATTTAGGAATGGTGTTTAATGGAAGAGAGAGTAAAATGTCCTTTCTAAATCCTGAACTCAGATCCATAGAACAATATGACAAAGGGAAAGGTTTGAATTAAATAAGAAGAAACTGCCTCCTTTTCTCTGCTCCTCCTTGTTTAAGCTGTTCAGAAATGACTGGGTTGTGTTGGAGCAACTAGTTTCTGGAAATGTCCATTCATGATCAGATGTGCCACCTGTCAGGGATGATTTAGGATGAAATGCCTTTACAGAGGCACAGTGAGGATTCATCAAGTCTCCAGTTCTTTTCAAAGTCCAAGATTCTAGTATTACGTTCTATTGTTTTTGGAGTGCATATTTGTATTTGAACTTTTTAATTCTTAAAAATGTCAAGACTATACTAAAGGTATATAAATGTGTTTTTAGATGTCTTCTGGGATTTAAAATAAAAACATGTTTGAGATGATCCTCACTCATTTTTGGCATGAATACTTAGAAATTTCATATGGAATATTCACATCACCATCATTTGCACACTTCTAAAACATTCTGTGCTATAAAATATGAGAATGTTTCATAAATTACCTGAGATTTACTGTAGTCATAAAATTGGAATTAATTTTTTTGTATCACTTTTGCTACATATGTAACTTATGTACATATGTTGGCTTGATCACTACATACTGGCCTCACAGTTCAGTAAAAATGATTCATATCAGATAAAATGTAGGGCTGAGAACATGAATAGACACTTCTCTAAAGAAGACATCCGGATGGCCAACAGGCACATGAAAAGATGCTCAACGTCGCTCCTCATCAGGGAAATACAAATCAAAACCACACTCCGATATCACCTCACGCCAGTCAGAGTGGCCAAAATGAACAAATCAGGAGACTATAGATGCTGGAGAGGATGTGGAGAAACGGGAACCCTCTTGCACTGCTGGTGGGAATGCAAACTGGTGCAGCCACTCTGGAAAACAGTGTGGAGGTTCCTCAGAAAATTAAAAATAGACCTACCCTATGGCCCAGCAATAGCACTGCTAGGAATTTATCCAAGGGATACAGGACTACTGATGCATAGGGGCACTTGTACCCCAATGTTTATAGCAGCACTCTCAACAATAGCCAAATTGTGGAAAGAGCCTAAATGTCCATCAACTGATGAATGGATAAAGAAATTGTGGTTTATATACACAATGGAGTACTACGTGGCAATGAGAAAGAACGAAATATGGCCCTTTGTAGCAACATGGATGGAACTGGAGAGTGTGATGCTAAGTGAAATAAGCCATACAGAGAAAGACAGATACCATATGTTTTCACTCTTATGTGGATCCTGAGAAACTTAACAGAAACCCATGGGGGAGGGGAAGGAAAAAAAAAAAGCGGTTAGAGCGGGAGAGAGCCAAAGCATAAGAGACTCTTAAAACCTGAGAACAAACTGAGGGTTGATGGGGGGTGGGAGGGAGGGGAGGGTGGGTGATGGGTATTGAGGAGGGCACCTTTTGGGATGAGCACTGGGTGTTGTATGGAAACCAATTTGACAATAAATTTCATATATTGAAAAAAAAAAGAAAAAAATGTAGGCCTGAGAATAAGAACATATTCAACATTGACTATTATATATGTGGTAGGTTTTTCTAAAAAAAACATAAAATTTATATTTTTTATCTTACATGTCAATGTATACAAATTGCTGATCATTCTTGTTCCCAAGAGTTTTCTCTCCTAGGCTATCATGCAGAATAATGATCAGAATCTCCTTCAAGAGTTGCCAGGGATGATGAAAAAAACCTCACGTGCTGTCAGTTCATACTTAATTCACTCTGAAATATGGGGCACCTGTTCCCTCCACTGTAAAATTCATAGTTTTCACCTTCTTCAGGTATAATTATAAAGTCCAGTAGGTATCTTGAGAGTTAAACCAACTATGCTGTAAGAAAAACATGAGTGTATATTTTTTTGGGAGAGGTTTAGTTAAATTAGAAGATTTTCTGAAATAGTAGGACTTAGCATTTTTACACCATTGAATTGTATTGCAGTAGCGATGACTGAAAAAAGTTGACTTTTAGTAGATTTCACATCTCAATATTTTCTCAGTCCTCATTTATTTAAAGCAGATAATTGTCACAATTTCTTC